CCACATCCGGTCTCTTTCCCTTCTCCATCATTGTTTCAGAGATTTTAAAAGCATCTCCAATGCGGCCATCCTTGCATAGTCCATTGAATAGAACATTAGATGTCACAGAACTAGGCTCTTCACCTTTTTCTATCATTAAATCAAACAAATCCAAAGCCTTCATCTTTTACAAAGCCCAACAACCATACAAGCATGAACATCAGGCTGAACCACCCCCCTATCGGTCATAGTCTGTGACACAGCAGTGGCTTCACTCCATAGCCCTTTCTTACAAAAACCATTCATCAAACAACTATAAGCAACTGAATTTTGAGAAATACCCTTTCCCCCATCTCATCAAACAATGCTTTCCCTCCATCTAAACATCCTTTACTACGGAAACCATTTACAAGTGTAACATCCACCTCCAATCCCTTTCTCCTCATCTCTTTCAGCCAAGTCATTGCTTCTTCCACTCTACCATCCTTACAAAGACCATCCATCAAAATACAAAAAGTAAACGAATTTGGTTCACAATTTGACCTCTCCATTTCAACTAACAAATCGGCAACCTTTTCCAATATTTTCTCTTCACGATAAGTAAACATTTTTTTTAGCATCGCAAGCTTAGAGCTTTAATAGGGAAGAAGCCAAAATTGGACATTGGATAGATCAAATAAAGCTCGAATCTTTTAGCATTGCAAGAAAAGAAGTGTTATGCAGAGACAGCCATAGCCCAATTTTGGGCCATGTGAAACACCAATTAAACACGGCAATTGCAAACATCTACACAGTGGGCAAATTATTTCAAATCAATTTTTAGTATAATTGAATTTTATTATAGTATTTATAAATTTAATTAATAAATAAGTTGAATTTACATATTTGAAAAAAATTAAATTTATTTTATTTTGGTTATCTTTATTTTATTTCTTCAAAATTCTATAAGAAAAAAAAATGGTTAAATGGATATATTAGAAAAGTCAATTTTAATATTAAAATTTTTCAAGGATTTCATAATTGTGATATTATTAAAACCTCAAAATTAAATTGAATTTAAACGGTTTAAAACATGTTGCAAGGGGTGAAGATAGATAAAAATATCTTATGGAGGCAGGTAGCATACCATCAATTTAATAAAATTCCATATATGAAGCTATATATAAATAATTTATCGTGTTTATAATTTTTTTCAATGTACATCAATGGTAATTTGTGTTTTTTTAATAAAAACCATGATTGACTTTGTTTAATAAATAATGATGATATAAAAATCACAAGGAATATTCTAGAATGAATTATTCATAAAAATCCTTGTACGTCATTCATGGTGTATTCTATGATCTTTGCTTCAAAACTGTATTGACTTTTTCTTTAATGAATCTTCTCGGGGGGTGTGAAACTCTCCTTAAAATAATACATGCACAAGGTCTTTTAAAGACCTCTGGTAGTGTTGATGGGGATCCTTTGAATATCAAGTCAGTACGAGTTATTTTTATGTAGTAAAGTGACCATAATAAAGGCATTAATAAGTTTTTATAGAGACAAAGAAGAGAAAAGAAAAAAAGATGTAGAATTCAGAAGAAGGAAAAATGTATTTATGTTTTGGAATATAAGGTTTCGAACTCTTTTCTTATATACTCGTACTTCCTTTTATACTATCTAGCTTGACCTGCTTTATACAATGTAGGAGAAGTAGAGATATGATCTCATAATAGTAAATTAATATTATTTTATTACTTGTACCATCACATTTAATTAATATAAATATAAACTGTTTATTCATATTTAATAGGATGTGATAAGTATCATAATTTCTAACTTCCCAAATTATAGAAGGTTCAGTGTGAAGTTACATTTAAGCTATACACTGAATTTGAAGGGCGCTAGGTTCAACTCGTACCCCGAGTCTAGGAAAAGTTGGGTTTAGCTTGTGACTATATCCAAGACTGGTTAGGGACGAACTTGTCATAACCTAACGTTAAGTTAAACGCAATCATATCTTTTATCTAACAGGAGGTTAGGCTCAGACATCCCATAGCTCAATAGAGAGGTGGGTGTGAACACATCCCACCTATCATGTGGCTAGGCGTGTGTATGACATGGCTCGACCAGGGTTGGATGTTAGAAAAAACACATTCTCATGTTTAGTTATGATTTTTATGTGATGATTTTTAAACAGGAAAGGTTTAAGGAAAGTATTGCCCATCAATATGTATAAAATATTTTATCTTTTTAATGGACTTTATATTAAAAAAATGACATAGATGGAATTAATAAAGACGGGCATGAAGGATTGCAAATTATTATTTTCAACGTGAGCATGGTAATGTATGGATTAGAAGGCTGCCATGGAGACGAGGTGGAGCATGGCCTCCGTTGCCATCTCTAGCCACCATGTGCCGGAGATTCGATTTGCTATTAGGCCTTAGACCCGATAAAGCTTGAGACTCTTGGGCGTGGTCCAGTAAAGCTTGGAACTTTCCAGGAGGATCCAATGCT